CTTCTCCAGCCCAACTATGCTGCCAGTCCTTTTTTTTTTTTTGCCCTGTCATGGGGTGGGTGAATTGCAGATCATACAAGAAGCCAAAGGGAGCAATTGCTGGTTCCTTATACTTTATATCGGGAGAAAGATATTCATTTATTTTTGATGCATAACATTTCCAAGTTGCCTTCTGATCACAGAGAGCCCGTCTACACTGACATATAGTTATGATATATGACTCCTTGATAGCCCTGTCCGGCATGGGGAGAAAGACTTCGTCCACTTGTGCTTCTACTTAAAACGATCTATCCTTCCCCTCTGAGAGCTGTCCCATTTCCTTCTGGCACAGGGCAAGGGCATGCAATCTTTTTGCCATGAGTCCTTGAGGTGCAAAATAGCTTTTTGTTCTGCCCTTGTGGGCGGGTACTTGATTTAAAATACATTGCACTGAAAACAAGGACCGCGCCACATCTCACAGTGTGGGGAGGCCCAGAGATCAAATGCATCTCTGCCGATATCTTTGGGGCAGACAGAAAGCACGGCACGACTGCACTGGGAAATCTCAATGTCTGAGTCCTGTAAGGGTCAGTGGGGAAGCAAGCAGGGGGCAAAGGAGGCAGAGAGGGGAGGGAGGGAGTAGTTCAGACTAAGGAGCCAATCCTCAGTCAGCAACCTTATCAGCGGAAATATGATTCGCCCCTTCTATAATGGACACCTGCCAAAGTTTCTAGTAATACTGCTTTTGTCCATCAACCAGGGTGGCGCTAACACAGAACGGTAAAAAAGGAAAGCCAGTTTCTTTCTTTTGTGACCATCTTTGTTACCAGGGACTCTGATCCAAAATGTTTACTGCCTCACAATGATTGGCCTAAAGTCACGCCAGGGACTGGGGACTTTTCTGTCTGTCTGATTTTCTCTAAGTCGGCTCCATTTGGCCCCAGGGAAGCAAACACACTAGCCCTAACCCAGAAGCTCACAGAGGCCAGAGCAAACCTGTGACTTCCGCCTGATGGCCGGTCAGTTCTTCCTCTGTGGAGGAGACTGCACATTTCCCACACTTAGGCTAGATTGTACACGAAAAGCTAATTTGTTTTAAGACTGACCATGCATCGTTTCTCTAATCTCCTTGGGCAGCTATTAAACTCAGGGTCAGACGGCACATTAAGACAGACGCTTATTTTCTTTTCTTACAACGGTTATCCTTCCAGGCACTCAAATCTCGTGAAAATGGCCCACTGCCTGCACCATGGACTCGCTCGGTCCTCACAGAAGCCCTGAACCCATCCAGCGGCCTCCTCTTTCCTTCGAGACTTCGACGCGGGATTGCCTTCTTGCTGGTAGGGAATCTCCAGCCCCTTTCGTCCGTTCCTCATTTAGCAGCTTTGATTTCCCAGAAAAGGAAGGGAGACGCCTTCAAAGACCCTTCGAGGAAGCCGCGAGCAACATCTATCTTTTACAGTGAAGGTATGGAAAAAGCGCTCTTCAGTGAGAACAATCATACACCTCATTCAGCATCTGATTCCCAGCAATGGCCAGCCAGATGTTTTCAAGATGAAAGCAATAGCATTCCACCGTTTTCCACCACCAACGAATATTCGCTAGGTATACTGCCATGAAACATGGAGGCTTTGTCCACCTCTCACTGCTGATGTAGCCAGGGATAAAACTGATCCGTCCCCATCTCTGAACCTGCTCGTACCTCTTCTAAATGCCCACCTAGTCTGGGGCTGAGTCTTTCCAAGTTTGATGTGACTCTGTGGGCCCCACTTTTCTCACAAGTAACCCTTGCCCTGGCCACTTTGGCAACATGGCTGCGGATGATGGAGAATCTCTTTCCCTACTGCATGATTTCCCCTGTCCTTTCTTTCTTTCTTTTTTTAAAGCGGGCCGGCCACCTGCGGTCTCCCACTCATTCCCCCAGGGCAGAGATGCCAGCCTCGCCCGCCTGACTCCAAACAGACCAGGTGCAGTGAGAAGCTTCTTGCAGAAGGTTAGTAGTAATAATAATAATAATAACAGAAGAAGTTCTTGATGAAGAACAAAAAATAAATAAATGCCTGTGAGGAGTGCTGCCACCAGGAAATTAAAAAACGGTGTATGTCACATGTGGCTTGGCTGTGCCCACGGACCAGCTTTTCCTCACTGAAATAACACTCCTCAAATCCAAAGGAATGCTTAGCAGGTGCGGGGGGGGGGAGAGAAAGAAGAAAGGAAGGAGGGAGGGAATTCATCCCAGTGAATTTTGGGCAACATGAAACTTCCTGAAGTTTAGTGTGTTGTTGTGCTGGTTGGATTCAGCCACACAAATAATGAGGCATAAGACAGGAGAGCAGATCAAACTGGAGTCTGCATCCGTTACCTCCGAAATTTAATCTCATTCCCTACCTGGCAGGGCTGTTGTACCTCAATAGGCGTAGCGTTTCCCATGAACATTCCATCATAGCCATTCTAATGAAACTTCCTGAAGTTTAGTGTGTTGTTGTGCTGGTTGGATTCAGCCACACAAATAATGAGGCATAAGACAGGAGAGCAGATCAAACTGGAGTCTGCATCCGTTACCTCCGAAATTTAATCTCATTCCCTACCTGGCAGGGCTGTTGTACCTCAATAGGCGTAGCGTTTCCCATGAACATTCCATCATAGCCATACTATCTCTCTCCCCCCCTAACTACAATTCCCAAATGACAAGGATGCATCCGTGGTCCAAGATCCATGGTTCCTTTTCATCAAATACTGTAGTTTACAACCTACAAATACACACAGCATTTAAAAGCAGAAAGCATCCGTTTTTAAAATCTGGAAATGGGTGGGTTTGAATACACACAGCATTTAAAAGCAGAAAGCACCCGTTTTTAAAATCTGGAAGTGGGTGGGTTTGATTCTTTCCAGATTTTGGGCCATGCACGCCCCCCTCTGAGGATATCCTCTTCCCCCCCCCCAGAAAGAAAGGTGGCCCTCAGAACGGCCCAAGTAGGCCACCCCACCTCGAGGGTGAACAAGCTGCACCTGTTGTATTCCCCTCTGTTGCGCAGCCATGAACAGCTGCACCTAAACCTGTCACCTTTGAAAACTGCCTGACGGGTAGAAATGCAACAGGTGCAGTTTTCCTCCTTGGGGCTTCTCTGGGGAGAGAAAGCGTGGAGGGAGAGCAGATGGAAAGCTTTTGTTCTAGCGGAGGGGAGAGAAGCCACAAGCAAGGGGCTTCCCGTTGCATTTTGAGTTGTTTGAACTCTTCTGTGATTCTTCCCCATCAAGCTGGCTTTCCACCTGGGATCACTGGGTGGGGGGGGGGGGGGGGGGTGTGTGTTGCACTACAACTCCCAGATGGTGTGGCTAATTAAAAAATCTATGTCATGATACAGAAAGAAGAAGCTGGAACGCCCTTGGTGCCCAGCTTTCTTTATGAGAGATGCAGAACAGCAACGCTGAGCGCCACATAAAGATGGACCGGCTCTTCTCTAGCAGAGGCCACGCTTTTGTGTTGGAGAAAGCCGGCCTTGTTTCATCTCCTTTGATTGCGATTCAAGGATGTACGGCAGAGGAGGATTGTGTGGATTCCAGAGCCCTCTTGTGGGCTCCTAATTCCACTACCTTGGTTTCATTCCAGAAGGGAAAGTGACCTAAAGCTTTCACTGAAACGGATCTGCCAGGCCAGGGTCCTGTCGGGTATTTATGGACGTGGAACCTCGACGGTGGAAGATGCCATGATGAGGTGCTGGCGGTGTGCTTGGTCCCCCATAATTTGGACCTCACCAGATGGCTGAGCTAGCTCCCAGAGGTATGGCCCTAAACCTGATGCATCTGTTACTGGATAGCAATATAAATGTATATGATATCTATGAGATGTACGCTCTATGCAGGAGCCAGATGGCTGATGGGGACTGGTTGCAGGCATGACAGAACCTCCCCGTGACAGTCGCTCCGCCGGCTGCCGATCCACTGTCGGGCCCAATTCAAAGTGCTGGTTTTACCCTCTAAAGCCCCAAATGGTTTAAAGCCCAAGCTTTCCCAAAGACGGCGTCTCCCATGATGAGCCTGCTCAGGTGTTGGGATCATCAGGGGAGGCCGTTCTCTCAGTCCAGCCACCTTCAGAGGGGTCTTTGGTGGGGGACACGGGAGAGGGGCCTTCTCTGTGTTTGCTCCCCGACTGTGGAACTCCCTCCCACTGGAGGCCAGGCTGGACCTGTCGTTGCAAGCAGGCAAAGCCCTTTCTCTTGAGTCGGGCTTTTCCCTTGACCCCACGAGTTCAGTACTAAAGGTTTCTCTCAGTGCAGTGAAGAGCAATCGTCGCTAGGTGGCGCTGCGGCTCCAGGGGAAACAGCCGACAGATGTTTTGCAGCTGTTTCCCTGAACACGCGCGCACGCGCACGCACACACACACACCCGAAACAAAGGGAAAGGCAAAGCTGAATACTGTACAAACCCTATTCCAGGTTTTCACCCACTGCCAGGCAAGTGCAAAGAAGGTTAGGATCAGGCCCCTTCTTCAGCTTCCTCGGGGACACCCCTTGGACTACAACTCCCATCATCCCTCTTGGGTTTAAGTGTGCGATGGATGTTGCCTTTTAGAGAAGACCTCCTTTCTTTTGCCCTGAGGTGGACTTCGGGGAGCCCCCTTTGCCCCACCAA